GGAGTGCTTCAAAGGGCATTAAGACAATCCATGCGCTACTCGAGGTTTGCGAGACTGTCCACTGGGAAGGAGCAGATAGGACATTTATTTACACGGTCCTTGTCTGGACGACTGTGTACGAGTCAAATGAAATCAGGTGTGACGGGCTCCCCGGCCGCCAGCGGGGGTGGGGCGCGTCCCGGGAGGAGTCACACTGGTTTACAGGCTCCCAGGCAAAGGCGGATCTGCCGCTGCATCCGGAAGGTCCACGGGGAAACAGGAAAACCAAGGACAGAACCAGCCTCTCCTCTCTCTGTGCAGGGTGGGGAGGAGCCCGCCCATTCACTCTCTGGGTGAGGGAGACCCCACAACCAACCTCTTCTACCCCCCCACCCTCCCACCCCACGTGCCTGACCAAGCCCGGCAGAGCTTCCTCCACCCCAGGGCAGAGTGTGGTGCTCTCCTAGGTGGCGTTTGCAGTGACGGATCCCCAGACCCCCGGCCCGGAGGGAAGGCACAGGTCCTCCAGGCTCAGAGCCCACCGATGCCCCCCGCAGCGGCTGTGTGCAGAGGGAATCTGGAAGGACAAACAGCAACAGGCCAGCAGGTCCCCCATGGGAGCGGTCAGAGCCCAACTGGTGTGAAGTGCCACCACTTACACCTGTGTGATCCCAAGCAAGTCATGGGCCTCAGTTTCTCCCCCGGGAACACAGACTATTGGTGTCTGACTGTGAAGGGTAACGCAGGGCACATCCCCAAAGCCTACCGCGCCAAGGGCCCTAGACAGTCGCTAGGATCAGAGTCATGGAGCCCGAGGGTCACTGTACGAGGGGTCTCATGTGCCTGAGGACGGGGGCTCTGGTGGCCACTTTGAGGCGGTGGCCTCACCCGTCAGCCCCTCGGGCTCTGCCCCTGCTGCCCAGGGCCGCCTCCCCCGAGGTCAGGCCCTTCCCAGGGCGGCCCACACCTGATGACCGATCAAGGGGGGAGCATGAAGGCTCAGATAGCTCCCCCCAAGTGGGGACGTTTCTGAAGGGCTTCTCCAGCTCCGCACTCCCTGCGGCTAGGCCCAAGCCCATCAGGCCCGCACTGCGGCCGGAGCCTTCCTCTGCCCGCTCCAGCGTCCCTCCCCTCCTCCCAAGGGCTCCCCCTCGGAAGCCCCCTGCGCGCCCCACTGTCTGAGTCAGCTTCCCGGGAAACCCAGGCCGTGACAGGTGGCTTCTCTGTATCCTTTTTCCTTGGGAAGGGAGGAGGGAACCCATGGGAGGAAGACAGTGGATGCCGTGGTGGAAAAGGCCAGGAAAGAGTCAACAAAAGGCACGGTGACCTCTTCCCTTCCTCTGCAGTGTTAACAGTGGTGTTAAAGCAGATGCCGCATGGGGGTCAAAGCAACGACACTCACCAAGCAGCATCCAGAATATGTCCTGGCCTCTGCCCTCACGGGCAGAAAGACACCAAAAGACCACAGAGGAAGAACGGAGAAAAAAGAAGGGGAGAAGCAGCCCCTGGGACCACATGGTACCGACCCCACAAAGACGGCCAAGGAAAGTGCCGGAAGCGTCCCTGGAGATGAGCAGATCAGTTACTGGAAAGTGAGATGTCTTCAGACCCGTGTGTCCTCAAAGGCAAAAGCCTGAGTCTTCCCACAGTGTAAACAACCACAGGGACACCTCTGTTGGCCCCAGGAAGGGGCCTAAGTAACCAACCCAAACATCTCCTTTGCTTGGCTTCTGGCTAGACGTGCGTCAACTCTGACGGTAATGGCGTCCTTACCCTGCTCTTGCTGGCAAGAGCCTGGTAGCGAGAGCCCTTCTTCTACCTGGAAGTAAAATTTCCTCCTAATTCAAGAAATGCAAGGTGTTGGGCAGACATGGGCATTCAAAGGACACCAGATCTAGGGAAGGAAGGGAAGGCCTCCGTGTGGGGAGCCCCTCAGCAGGGCCGAACGCTGCGCACCACAGATCGGGGGAGGGGGAGGCCTAGAAGACAGGAGGGTTTGTCCAAGGTCCCCCAGCAGGGCGAGGCCAAGAACTGACCGCCAGAGGCTCCGATGAGAGACTTTCTCCTCGGCCACATGGCTGGCCACGGAACGTGCGGCCAGCCACGGGAGAGCCGATAGAAGCTCGGCTGCCAAAGCAGGTGCAGGGCAGGCCCTCTCCTGTGTGCTGGGCTGCGCGGGCCCCGGCACAACTCTGCAGACAGCAACTAGAGAGTGCAGCAAGCCCCCGCCCCACAGTCCCCCGCTGGGGGTTCCTCCCACAGCTGGGCTTGCACCCTGTGGATGGGCCCTTCTCAAGGTCCACCGGGACAGCAACTTCGTGACCCCGGGCACATCCACGCAGTGGTCACACTGAGCCTGCTCAACACACGCTGACGTCCAGACACCCCATTCTGTGGCAAAGGCAAAGAGCAGGTGGACAGCATGGAGCACGGGGGCTGACACACACACACACACACACACACACACACACACAGCACGAATATCCATTGCACCCGGGGCACTTGACTAGGAGCCCAGGTGGGAAGGACACTCACTGTTCACTGTGCGCCTTTTGGTTTGTTTTTGGGGTTTTTTTGTGGTCTTTTGAGTTTTCTACCCATGAATATCATGCTTAGGCAAAAAATAAAATAGGAGTCCACTTACGTGAACTATCCGGAATAGGTCAATCCACAGCAACAGAGCACATCTGGGTGGTTTCCAGAGGCTGGGAGGGAGGGAGAATGGGGAGCGACTGCTTTTTAGGGGTACGGGGTTTCCTCTCGAGGTAATCAAAATGTTTTGAGACCATTAGATTTGGTGTTTGTAAAACACTGAATGTACTAAATGCCGCTGAACTGTTTACTTTAAAATGGCTACTTTTGTGGTGCATGATGTTCACCTCAATTAAAAATGAAAAACAAAGTCATAAAATAAATAAATACAGACACAAAACAGTTTTCCGCATCTGTGCTTGGGCGGCAGCGTGGCGATGCTGGTTAGGGGCATGGGCAGAGCGTCTGAGCTGTGGGGCTTGACTCGCAGATACGACCAGCACCGCCACCTGGGAGGCCTCGGTTAAGTGATCTGACTTCCCCAGGGCTTTATCCTCCTAGTCGGTGAAACAGGCCTAATGACAGAACCTGCTTCCCAGGGTGGTTGCAACTAGTAAATTAAATGGAAGAAGGTAATTGTCCAGCATGGGACCTGGTACAGACTGGCCCCAGGGCCTTTGCCCCTGCTGTCTGCCCACCCAGAACGCCCTCCCCTGGGGCAGATGCTGCCTCCTTCAGGCCTTTCCTCAAATGCCACCTTCCTGATGGGGTGTTCCCTGGTCTCCTGACTTAAAACTGGAAACCTCCCTGCCAACACCAGCCCAGAGGCTCCATCCCCTCCTCGACCTGACCTGTATCTCTCCCCAGTACTTGATTGTGTATTTGGTCCACCTCCTGTCTCCTTCACTTTGCTGTCTGTCCCGTTTACTGTGTATGCTGAGGCCTTGAGCAGGGCACGGCCCAAGGCAGGTGCTCAATAAACACACGCTGAATGAATGGGATTAGCGAAAACCTCTGCCCGGATCCGATGTGTAAACCTGCCTGCCTGACAAAATAAGACTGTTTTGTTGTTTAATGAGCTCAGAATTAAAAACAGGCACCAGTTTACAGTATTTCCAGCTAAGTGTGATCCCCCGGGGTGGGGGGGGCGGGGAATCTGCAAAGGGAAAGAGACAGCAGCGAGATGGTGCTGTGTGCTCTGGAACATAAGCCAACAAAGTCACCCCAACCTCTCAGTGCCCTTTGTGCCGTGAGGGCTGGTCCCATGAGGCTTCAGGAGGCTACGGACCACCGCGCTGCCATGGGTGCCCGGGACCCGGTCCCTCCAAGCACCTCGGGCCAGAGCCAGTCATTCACGGAGGGCTGACAGCAATACGGCCTTCCTCGGCCCTGCCCTCCTCCGGGGGCCCAGCGGGCACCCTCCTGGGACTCCGCTTCCCAAGGCTCTCAGGCCTCAGAGGGGGAGATCGTGACCCCCAATCCTCCAGAGTTCAAAAAATGGGGGGGAGACAAAAAACCCTCAGACTCTTCTAAAAATAGGCTTTCTGGTTAGTTCTCCTATGAGACCACGACACCATGACTCCACAGAACAACAGATCTGCTTTCTCGCGGCCTCCAAACCCTGTGCAGAGCGAAAGAAAAAGCTGATGCCAGCAGTCGCGAAGAGTTCAAGGTCTGAGAGAGACTAAAACAAGACCCCGAAACTGTAACACCAGCAAGGAAGCCTCTTCCATCCCACCGAGTGCTGGGGCTGCGGGTGTCACCTGGCTTCGGACTGGAACCGAGGTGGGGGTTGAGTTCAGTTCGGAGACACCTAGTCCCACAGGTCTCAAATTTCCCCGAGAGTCAACACATCACTTGCTTTCTAGCCAAGTTCCCAGGTGAAGGGGTGCTGCTGGTCCAGAGACTATGCTTTGAGAACCACTATTGCTCGAGAGCAAAGCCTTCCACGTCAGTCTTGCAACTGCACACAGGACCTGCAGACAGACAGACACACACACACACACACACACACACACACAGGGCCAGAGAGAGCGCCCCTGCCCAGCCACTGGTCCTCAGATAGCCAGACCTGCCTGGTCCAGCCGCCAGTGGATGGAACCCACAGGGGTACTTGGACCCCAGAAGCTGTTCCCATTCAAGTCCTGCTCGAGCCAGTCACTGCGAGAGGCTCTGGGGCACACCCGAAACCCCTGAAACCCAAAGTCACAGCATTTCCCTTTTTGGAGAGCAGTCATGAGCCATCCTGCCCCGCTTCCCCCCATGCACGTGGGTAATCCCCAGCTGCAAGATCCGCTTTCTGCCCAGGGATGCTTTCAAGTTTCTGAATCTGAAGATGCAGCCAAAAGAGGAAACCACACTTTAAAAAAAAAAAAAAAAAAAAAGGCATGGCACTCAAGGGGAGCTACAGCATCCCTGATGGGGAGCACCTCCCCAAATGCAGGGACCTTGTCACCCACGGTGGGCAACGCCACCAATCTCTCACTCACCAAAATAATCAGCCTTCGGGTGCGCATCCATTTCACGCTCCAGACGTTGGGTGAGGGCTTCTAATTTCAATTCGGCAGCTGAGGGCCCAAGCTCGGGGCCTGGGATGAGGGTCTGGCAGGGCAGCCTCACCCTGGGGGGGCTGGGGCTCTCCGGGAGCCCAGGCCCCAGGCTGCCATCCGACGACCAGCCAGGGGGACCTTCTTTACAAGATAAGTCAGGCGGAGTGGACATCACTGGATGGACAAGGCTGGTGGGGCTGAGCTTGGGACCAATGCCAGGGTCCGTGCAGACTGGCTTGGGACCCAGCCCAGGGGCCGCACCCAACTGCAAACTGTCCATGCTGGCTGGTGAGGATGATGAGGCAGAACTAGAAAGGTAAGATTTGGGTCCGTCTTGGAACCAGGGCTGAGGGTCCACCATGGGTTTGGGCATCGTGCCTGAAGCCTCACTCCCCACCCCCGAGTTTGTTCTTGGAAGAGCTCCTTGGCTGGGGCAGCTCTGGGCCAAGGGTGCTAAGAAAGAGGGGGGCCTGGGCTGAGGGGGCCCCAAGTGGGCCCCATTTTCCAGGCCTGGGGAAGAAAGGCTGGAGCTCACCCGCTGGGAGGCGGCAGTAGTCCAAAGCCCAGCTGGCTTCTCATCACCACGGTCACCACCACCACCATCCTGGCCTCCGGTCTCCAATGACTTGCTGGAGCTTGGGGAGAGCTGAGGCTGGTACAGGGGATGGTCCCTGGAGGGTTTGGGCAGTGGTGCGTCAGTCCCTGGGGTGCCAGGCCACCCGCTCCCTGCGCCCGGCCTGACGCTGGGGGACACTCCTGGTCCATCAGCCCACTTTGGGCTTGCCAAGGAGAGGTTGTCATAATAGTCTCCGTGTGTGAGGCAGGAAGGATCCTCGCAGGGGCCCACCTGGCGGAAGGCAGACATCTCCCAGCTTGCCAGGCTCTCCTTGGAGCCACAGTCCTGGCCGCCGTGGCTTGCGCTGCGCGCATAGGGCCTGGCCCTCTGCTCCTGGGGTGGGTACAAGGGTTGCCCGGGGGCCATGGAGGTGACTGAACCAGGACCCACTGTCGAGGCAGCTAGAGGGGGCTTGGCAGCACCATCCACGGTCAGCTTGCTGCTCACACCGGCTTCCCGGCGGGCCTCTGGGCCCGGGGGGCCCCCACCGTTGACCGGGCCTCTGCTCCCCCTGGGCAGGGTCTCGTCCTGCAAGAGCTGCTGTTGCTGTTGGAGGTGGATTTTGGCCATTTTGGTGGCAAACACCCGGCGTGTTTCCTCAAACTCGGGGTTGTTGCCTGCCCCCTTGTCCACTCGGAAGAGTCCATCCTTGGAGGCCTCGTACATGTTCAGGTCCTCAATGAATTTACTGGCCTCCAGGCCCAGGTCGCCGTACTTATCCATGTCGCAGACGGGTGTCAGAGCCTAGCGAGGCGTCCGGGGAGTGTGCGTGGGTGGGGGAAGCGTCCGCTGCTGAAGGGCAGGGGTCAAGTCCAGCCCGGGACAGGTAAAGCCTTCCACCGGCCCGGCGTGACAGTCATGACCCAGGCCTCAGAGTCCGGCAGAAGTTGGGGCCTCGAGGCCAGCTGGACCAAGCTCGCTTCCAACTCCCTTTCCCCTCAGAGGTGTCCACGTGGGGCCAGCTGGTGGAGCTTCACCGTCCCAGCCTGCTGTGCGTTCTTTTTCAAATCATAAAAGGAAAAAGAACTAGAAAAAAAACCCAATCTCCTCCGTAAGCAATCAAACTCGGAAACCGACGCCGAGAGCAGCCGCGGGACGGGGCCGGGGGGGGGGGGCAGCCGGCTCGGCCGAGAAGGTGGAGGCCGCCGGACCGGCCGCAGCAGAGGTGCGGGCGGCCGCAGGCACACGCACGTCCCGGGCGCGGGGGGCTCGCGGCTCCGGGGCCGGAGCGGAGAGCGGCGCGGAGAGCGGCGCACTGGCCGGGCAGGAAGTCCGCGGCAGCCGCGGCGGGCGGCCTATTGTCCGATGGCGGCGGCGGCCGGGCGCGCGCGGGCCGGAGGGCGGCGGGACGCGGAAGTGAGCGCGCCGGACGCAGTCCCCGCCGCTCGGTGGCCGGCGGGGCACGTCCCGGGCCGCGAGGAGGCGGGGGCGGGGGAGGCGGCCGAGGGGCGGGGTCGGCGGCGGGCGGGCGCCCCGGGGCGGGCCTGCGCCTAGCCGCGTGGCCCCAACGCCCGCACCCCGGCCGGGCTGGGGGACGCGGGGACTGCGTCAGAGCCGGCGAGTGGGCATCGCGCGGGGGCTGCCCCGGCAACCTCGGCCCCCGGCGATCCGGGCCCCGCTCTCGGGGTCCGGTCCCGCCCCGCCTCTGGCCGCGCTGGGCGGGAGGGGGGGTGCCTCCGCGCGGAGACCGCTGGCGGGTGGCCCTGGCAGCCTGCGGGGGCCCGCGACGTGCCGCTTGGGAGTTTGCGGGAGTCTCGAGGACCCGCGCTCCTCGCCCCACCGTGCCTCAGTTTCCCGGGGGGGGGGCCAGTCAACCCCGTGCGCCCCCGAGGCCGCCTCCGCCCGGGCCGTGCCAGCCTCCCGGCTTGCCCGAGGTGCGCGATCGGAGGCCCGGGATATCACCCGGGGCTGGCCCGAAGTTCTCTTTAACAGGTGGGCAGACTAAGGCATAGAAGGGGTAGTGTCCGAGATGCCGAGATGGGAGCCCAGGTCTTCTGAAAGGGGGAAAAGAAAAAAAAGTCACATTGTTCCCCGGAGGGCGCGCCTTTAAGGCGCTCAGCGCAGCAATAAAAACACGCACCCTGGTGACTCCTCATTCATATGGAGATTCCTGAACCCGTCCCCCGCCCCCCGCCCCGCACCCCGGTCCGCGCAACCGCGGTGGGGGGGCCGGGCCTGACTCCAGGGCGACCCCGCATGGCCCGGCGCTCTCTGCACCAACTCCGAGGTGACCCTGGAGAGGTGTCATTGCGCACCCAGGCAGCCAGAGTGATCCTAAGGCAAATACCAGACCAGTCACTTCCTGCTTAAACCCTCAGTGCTTTCCCGGGCTTAGATGATTGAAATCAGCTCCCTACCAGGGCCTTCCCCAACCTGATTTGGGAGCCTTCCACCACTGTGCTCCAGCCGCAGGAGCTTCCTGGTGTCTGCCCAGAGCCTGACCTTGAACTTACCGTGGCTCATCCTTCCCATGACTGCTGAAATCACCTCCTCCTAGAGGCCTTCCTTTTAGGCACCCTCTTTATTTTCTGATCGGTCTTGATCACTACTTATAATTCTTTATCTGTTTACATGCAGTGTGTTTGGTGGGCGGTTGGTTTTGCGCCTCCGTAGACTGTTATTTGCATGCCCAATGACTGGTACATAGTAGTTCCTGATGGTTGAAAAAGTGATTTAGTGACTGTCTGCCAGGACTGTGGCAAGGAACAAATAAGGTAATATACATAAAAGTGCTTTGTGTATAATCACCAGGAAGCTTGTTGAAAATACAGAAATTCACGACTTCCCCCCTCCCCCATCCAACCTACTAAACCAGGATCTTCATTTTAACACGATTCCCGGGTGCTCTGTTTGCACAACAGTGGAAGAAGCACTGCAGTAGAGAACTATATAGGATGAGGTATTTTTACTTTTACAAAGCCTTTTAATGTTTTTATCTACAAAAGTAATACCTGTTTATGACAGCAACTTTGAACAATACAAAGATGCGTAAACTTTTTGAAAAGTTGCCCACAATCCCCCTGTTCAGAGATCATTATTATTAAACAGTCCTTATGTATTTAAGTAATACTTATTCATTAATAACTGGGCTTCCTCACAAAGTGAGTGATAGGCTTATGAACTTTCTAGAACAGTGGTTCTCAGAGTATGGTCCTGGAGCCAGCTGCATCAGCATCACCTGGAACTGGTCTAAACCTGTGGTTCCCAAACTTGGACATGCATCAGAATTCCTTAGGGAGCTTATTAAACACTGGATGCTGGGGGGCTGAGGGGGGGAGCGCCTGGGTGGCTCAGTCGGTTAAGTGTCTGCCTTCGGCTCAGGTCATGATCCCAGGGTCCTGGGATGGAGCCCCGCATCGGGCTCCCTGCTTGGCGGGGAGCCTGCTTCTCCCTCTCCTTCTACTGCTCCCCCTGCTTGTGCTCTCTCTCTCTCTTAAATGAATGAATAAAATCTTAAAAAAAAAAAAAAAAAAGGAAAGAGAGAGAGAAAGCAAGCAAGCAAGCTGTGGCCCATTTTCCCTGACCCCCGAGTGTTGGGGATGCAGCTGACAAAGTGCCGGGAGCACGTGGCCATCCCTGTGTGAAGACCGACAAGCCCAGAGCCAACTTCCTGGGTGTTCAGTTCTAACAGCTGGAACCCTGGTACTAGAGTTACAAACACCTGCCAGGGCCTCTTGTAAACCAGTTTTCTCTTTTCATGCTAACTTGGCAGCAGTGCCTGGGCCCATAATCCTTGGTCCCTACCTGCTCCCTACTCCAACCCTCATTTTGCCTTGCCTGGAGGGCTCAGAAGCCATGAGTTTTACTCCCCATCCCCCCTGCAGTTCTAGAAGCTACTGCAACCTCTCCACCAACTAAACACAGACACCTGAACCTACCATCTGCATATTTTCTCACCAGACTGGCTTGTCCCCTCTCGGTCCGTGGAGTACCTTATACCTTTACAGAGCAGCTTGTAAAGATGGCATCCCATGAGCTTCAAACCACATAATATACTCCTAGGAAGGGGTACTCAGACATGGCCAGCAACCCACTGGATATGCAACCACTGCTGTTTAATATTTAAAAGACAGACATGTTTTCCCATTCTGTGCCCAGCATTTAGAATCCCAGCCGTGATTATTTACTGTAGGCCAGTTTTGTCTGTTCTGTGTGCTTGGAAACATCTGTTGATTAGAATCTCAAAATATGTGTTAATCCTTGCGCATCAGTTGTTTAAAAAGCAAAAATACTGAAGAGCTCAATATTTTTATCGATCAGTAGGCAGCGCATGGATGGTTTTGTTTTCGTGTTTACCGATAATGTTTTGTTTTGTTGGGTGAGAGATGTCCCACATTCTGTTTTACCAGAAAAGTTGTTCCAAGGCAGTGATCATTTCCCATGGCCCTGCCTGGAGAACCAAAGCCATTATCAAAACGCAGTTTTCCTTTAGTCTTAAGCTTATTTTCATGAGCATACGGATGTAAAAAATACCCGCCTTCAGGGTGCCTGGGTGGCTCAGTCAGTGAAGCGTCCCACTCTTCATTTCGGCTCAGGTCATGATTGCAGGGTCATGAGATAGAGCCCTGTGTCAGGCTGCATGCTGGACGAGGAACCTACTTAAGATTCTCTCTCTCCTTCTGCCGCTCCGCCACCCCTCTCTCCCTCTTAAAAGCGCCCACCCATGAAGACACTAGTGAAATGTGGTATTTTCAACCTGACCTGCCTAGAATCTCAGTAACATCCATCAGGTCCTATACCTCTTCAGCTCCAAACCCTCCAGCAGCATCCCGAACCACGCTGAGAACAAGATCCTCCCCTTGACCCCATGTGATCGGGCCTCTTGCCACCTGTGCCTACCTCCTAATTTCCCTCTATCTCCCCTTCTTCCTCCACTCCAGCCACACTGACTTCCTCACCATCCCTGGCTCATGCCCTCACCTTGCTTTCCTTCACTCACTGAACAAACGTTACTGAACACCTAGGATGCCCTGGACCCTTTTCCAGGTGCTGAGGATACAGCAGTGAACAAAATAGTCAGACATGCCTGTCCTGTTTGGACTTACATCCCAGTGGGGCAGGATGGACAATAAACAAAGCAGATACGTGGCTCGTGGAGGACATGAGAAAGTGAGGAGAGAGGCGGCAAAAGATGAAACGAGGAAGAGGATGAGGGGACGCCATCTTGAATGCACCAGTCAGGGACGGTCTCACTGAGCACAGGCTTGAAGAAGAGCGAGTGGAAGGAGCCCCCGTTGGAGACAGACATCTAAATAGCTCTTCTCAGGAGTTTTGTTGGGTAAAGTGGCATAGAGGGGGAAATGCCATCAAGAGAGGCTTTTTTTGATTTTTTTTTTTCAATATGGGAAATGGTACGTGTTTCTATGCCAATGGGAATGGCCCACTGAGGTAGGTGGGAGTTGGGGGAGGAGAATTGCTGTTGGAGGAGAGAGAGAAGGGAATGTTTGGAGGGACATGCCCAAGTAGCAGAGAGGGCTGGGCTCCACTGCCTATTTCATCAATGGTAATAGAAAGGATGTGGGCAAGAATCAGGTAGGTAGGTATCTAAGGCATCGGAATCTTAGAGTGGTACATAGGTCTTCTGATTACTTTAATTTCCTCAGTGAAAGAGGAAGTAAGGAGAGTTAGCTGAGAGGGAGGCCAGGGAAATTGCTGTTGGGAACCTGCCATCTAGGGGAGTGGGAGAGTGAATGGCCTGGAGAAGCATGGAAACTTCCCCTTGGCTCCCAACCCCCACCCTGAGATCTGGGGCATGGATTTCAGTGAGGCCAGCCAG